GATGATGTTTCTGAAATAATAAGCCAGCTAAGTAAACATAGGAGTCAACATTCCATGTCTGTTGTTTCTATAGTAGGCATGGCTGGCATTGGGAAGACAACTTTAGCAAAATCAGTGTTCAAAGAAGTAAAAGAAAGAAGGATGTACCATAAAGTAGCATGGGTTTGTGTTTCTAATCATTTTGATGAGAAAGACATTTTAGGAGGAATGTTAGAATCTCTTGATAGAACTGCAGGGGGAATAAACAACATTGATGCAATACTTTGCCATCTTGAAAGTGAGTTGGAAAAGAAAACCTTCCTTCTCGTTCTTGATGATGTGTGGAATGAAGATTCTAACAAGTGGGATACCTTCAGCAGTCGCTTGTCTAAAATTGTGAAAACCACTGGAAACTCTATTATTATAACAACTCGCAGTAATCGAGTAGTATCTGCAATAGAGACATGTCCTGTGCATAAGCATGAAATGAAAGGGTTATCAGATGATGAGTGCTGGGCTATAATTGAGGAGAAAGTGCATGGATTTGCAAGAAGACTAGTAGATGATAATTTAAAAGCTATTGGGCAAGATATTGCAAGAAAATGTAAGGGTTTGCCATTGGTTGCAAATGTGTTGGGAGGAACAATGGGTCGCGATATTGGAGTAGAAGAGTGGCTGGCCATCAAGAATAATAATGCATGGAATTCACAAGATGATCAAAAGATTGCACCAATTCTAAAGATAAGCTATGAGCATTTGTCTGGGCCTCTGAAGAAATGTTTTGCTTTTTGTTCAATTTTTGAAAAAGATACTATTATGAAGAAAGATGAATTAGTTCAGCTCTGGATGGCAGAAGGGTTCTTGCATCCACCTAATGATGAAAACAGTTTGACAATGGAGGATATTGGTAACCAGTACTTTGATGATTTGTTATCCAATTCCTTGTTTCAAGATATAAAAAGGAATGCAATAGGCAATGTGGAATCTTGTAAGATGCATGATGTAGTGCACGATCTTGCATTGTCTGTCGCTAGTGGTGAAACATTCATTTGGTATCAGACTGGTTCCATTGATGAAAATTCTAAAATTCGACATTTGAGGATCAAGTCTAATGGGGGAGTGCTTCCAATAGGAGTTTCTCAAAAGTTGCATTCCTTGTTCTTACATGCTGAGTATGCTTTCCATGACATTGCCTCAGATCTTAAAAGCTTGCGATCTCTTATAATGTTGAGAGCTTGCAATGAAGAAGATCTATCAATTTCTCTTAGCAAGATGAAGCATTTGAGGTACCTTGATATCTCAAGCAGTCAAATTAAAGCACTACCGAAATCCTTCTCTAAACTCTACAACTTGCAAACTTTAAAGCTCATGGGGTGCAATCATCTGAAGAGGGTCCCTGATGACATAAGAAATCTTGTTAGCTTGAGGCATCTTTATTTCAATTGTGAAAAACATATGCCAAAGGAGATTGGGCAGTTGACTTCCCTTCAAACATTACCACTATTTGTTGTTGGAGTAGAAAAGGGATATAGAATTGAAGAACTTGGATGCTTAAGCCAACTGCGAGGGGAATTGCACATTCAGAAACTTGAAGATGTAGGATCCAAAGTAGAAGCCTCTAAAGCAAAATTAAAAGAAAAGAAAAAATTGCAAGGGTTGAAATTTAAATGGAGTGCAGAGAGAGAAGCCAACAACAATATCAACGATGAACAGGTTCTAAAAGGTCTTCAACCTCACCCAAATTTGAAGAGCTTAGTTATTTGGTATTACCAAGGAAAGAACTTCCCATCATGGATGCAGGGTGTTGTCAATAGTTCACTCAACAACTTGATGAAGTTGGAGCTACGGCATTGCAATGAATGCTTATATCTTCCGAGCCTCAGTCTATTGTGTAATCTCCAGTTTCTTGAAATTGAGGGGATAAAGAAGGTAAAAAGCATGGGCAGCAGGTTCTATGTGGATCAAAGCAACAGGGTTGATGGAGTAGGACCAGCTACACAATTCCCAGCTTTAAAAGAATTCAGTGTGGTAAAAATGGAAAGCCTTGAGGAATGGGTAGAAGTAGAAGGTGTGACTGTGTTTCCTTGTCTTGAGAGGTTGAAGATTGAGGATTGTCCTGAGTTGAAGACTTGGTCGATGGGTGGATTTTCATCTAATCATAAGCTATCTTCTTTGAGAATAAGCGGATGTCGCAAACTGATGACTATACCGAGTATGGATGGGCTCTCATCTCTTAAAGCTTTATCTATAAGGGGATGTTATGAATTAATGAGTCTACCAAGTGGATTGGGATCTTGCACTTCTCTTCAGGAGTTGAGAATTTCTGGATGCAAAAAACTGGCTTCCATTGCAAGTATAAATGAGCTCACATCTCTTACAAGCCTTCAACTTTCTAATTGTGATGAATTAATAAGTCTACCAAGTGGATTAGGATCTTGCACTTCTCTTCAAGAGTTGAGAATTTCTGGATGCAAAAAATTGTCTTCCATTCAAAGTATCAATGGGCTCACATCTCTTACAAGCCTTGAGCTTTCTAATTGTGATGAATTAATGAGTCTATCAAGTGGATTGGGATCCTGCACTTCTCTTCAGGAGTTGAGAATTTCTGGATGCAAAAAACTGTCTTGCATTCAAAGTATCAATGGGCTCACATCTCTTACAAGCCTTGAGCTTTCTAATTGTGATGAATTAATTAGTCTACCAAGTGGATTGGGATCCTGCACTTCTCTTCAGGAATTGAGAATTTCTGGATGTCAAAAACTATCTTTCATTCAAAGTATCAATGGGCTCACATCTCTTACAAGGCTTCTGCTTTTTAATTGTGATGAATTAACGAATCTACCAAGTGGATTGGGATCTTGCACTTCTCTTCAGGAGTTGAGAATTTCTGGATGCAAAAACCTCTCTTCCATTCAAAGTATCAATGGGATCACATCTCTTACAAGGCTTCTACTTTTTAATTGTGATGAATTAATGAGTCTACCAAGTGGATTGGGATCTTGCACTTCTCTTCAGAAGTTGAGAATTTGTGGATGCAAAAAACTATCTTTCATTCAAAGTATTAATGGGCTCACATCTCTTACAAAACTTCTGCTTTTTAATTGTGATGAATTAATGAGTCTACCAAGTGGATTGGGATCCTGCACTTCTCTTCGGGAGTTGAGAATTTCTGGATGCAAAAAATTATCTTGCATTCAAAGTATCAATGGGCTTACATCTCTTACAAGGCTTCTACTTTTTAATTGTGATGAATTAATAATGAGTCTACCAAGTGGATTGGAATCCTGCACTTCTCTTCGGGAGTTGAGAATTTCTGGATGTAAAAAACTGTCTTCCGTTCAAAGCATCAATGGGCTCACATCTCTTAGAAGCCTTGAGTTTTCTAACTGTGATGAATTAATTAGTCTACCGACTGGGCTGGGATCCTGCACTTCTCTTCAGAATATGGCAATATGGGAATGTGATAATATAATTTCAATTACTGAGGAGATTGGGGAATTACATTCTCTCAGTCACCTAGTGATCCGTAATTGTGGAACGCTGAGGAGCATTCCAGGGGAGTGCCTGTGTAGACTCAGCTGCCTGAAGCAGTTATCGATAGGTGGTTTCTTGTCAGAGTTGGAGGAATTTCCTGGACTAACTTCCATTCATCAACTCCACGCCTCCCTTGAAGTAGTGAAATTGAATGGATGGGATAAACTAAAGTCTCTGCCACATCAGCTTCAACATCTCACTGCCCTCAAGGAATTGATGTTACGGAATTTCAATGGCCTGGAAGCTTTGCCAGAGTGGTTGGGAGACCTCACTTCTCTTCACAGGCTGCAGATTTGGGGTTGCTCTAATTTGACTCATCTGCCTTCAATTGAAGCCATGCGACGCCTCTCCAACTTACGATCTCTTGAAATTGGGAGTTGTCCCAAATTAGAAGAAAGATGCGCCAAAGAAAGCGGCCCCGAATGGGCCAAGATTTCCCATATCCCCTACATCAAGAAAATTGTTGGGTAGCTGCAGCAGTAATCCGAATAAGAGAGTAAGGTACGTTTAATTTCTCAAATCTAAACTGTTTGGTGTAACGGATTCATAGCATACATTTGCAAGTTTAATGAAACTTAACTTTGTTATTCATGCAGGGTTGAGGGTTGTGACTGTGATGGGGCCGCTCACAGTTCATAGAAGCTGAAAGTCTTCAAATTATATACTGTATATTATTTTCTTTAAATTAATAGCTTTTATTTTTTGGCATAAAAACACGCGGAGTGCGATTCTTCCAAGTTATATCTGATGCATCTAAACACATGCAAGTGTAAAGCTTGAGGGTGTGAGAGCCCAGCAGGAGGAGTAATTACTACAAGCTTTCGTTTTTTAAGGTACGTGTATATATATATATATATATATATTTCCATAATACTGTTTTTGGATTTTGATCATAATTTTTTTTTTCTGATTAATTTCCTTGTTTACCTCAATTTTGTTCATCTATTTTCTATTAGAAAAATTGTGGGCATGGGACTTTCTTGCTTTGATGAATTTGAAATCTTGATTAAAGTATGTCTGTTAAAAATTACTTGGGTGATCCTTCTTATTAATCTTTTAAATTCTTTGTACAACTTCAACAATAATGAAAAAAGAACTCATTTTCAATTTTGTTTGGAGAGACTGTTGGTCTCATTGATGATAACAAAATCATAATATTCAACTCATTAAGCCATTGAGGATTCCATTTTGTTTCTGCTCTTATTTAAATCTTCTTAAACTAATTAATAATAATTAAAAAAAAAAAACCCCTAACTGAACAAAATTGACAGATGAAAATATTCAGTGTTGCTAATAGTCTCTTAAGTGACAAGTATGTCTGTCTCCTCTTTTGTTGTTGAATTTGATGCAAATCATCTTGTGCTCCAACCACTTGCCTTTGTATTATAAGAAATATCATGTTCTTTACTTAAGTAACAGCGACATGGTTGGTTTAAATTTTTTTTGCTATTTTATTTATTTTGCCTTTTATTTCACCTCTGAATTCTAAACCATGGCAGGGAATATGTCAAGTTGAATGAGAAAGGAAGAAGAAGACACCAGATGTTGACGATACTGCTGATTGCTTTTGTACTTTAGTCTTGCTAAGAGAAGATGATGTCAGTGACTAAGAAATTGTGCTTGTTGAATTAATGACTGGTATTTCACCAAAATATGTCTATTTTATCTGTAAGTTCTCATTAAAGCTTAGGAAACTAGTATCTAATATAATATATGAGGGGCAATAGTGTAGACTTGTTTATTTTGCCATTTTGCCATTCTTTATTGGCTTCAACACTCCACATTGACAGCAATGTTGCACATGGCAAGCTTATCCCTCATTCCTCATTCCCAACATTGGAACATCAGAATAGATTTGCAGACTCCAATATGCCTGAGGTAAGTTTAATTAATCAAACCTATATTCATTGATTCATACTTATAATTTTCTCAGATGAAGTGACTAACAACTAACGACTAGGAAGTTCAGGTTCCTTAAATGTACTAGCTAATCATTTTGTTCCAATAGTGTTTTCTGTTAAAATTGCCACCTGATGAAAAATTTTGGCATTTTCTATAAAATTATTTTCAAAACATTTTCTTTAGTCCTTACTATCCTGAAACTTGTTGATCTTAAGTTGTTTAACATGGTTGTTTTATTTAAATATTGATTCTGTGCATTTCAGGGACACATGAGACTTGGCTGCTGAAATTTCCCTTTCTTAAATCATATCACTGGTTCAAAATACTCCCATAAGGTGTTGCACAGCTAGTAAGTCCTGAAATTCCTTCCTATGCTTATTTTTCCTCATTATTCATTTTTTTGCGCATTGCATAGCTCGTGACTTATTGATAAATTAATTTGTGTATTTTGACATTTTTTGTTTAGTTTTCTATGGAAGCCCAAAATTCAACGGGTGAAGAATTGAGTTCCTGCAATATATGCCAATTGCAAAGACGTTCTTTTTTCTCCTACCATGCAATTGTATGATCTTATCAAATGCCACTCAGGGTTCGTTGGTGAGTCTTTAAATCGTGTTTCTATTGCCAAGAAGAAAAAATCGTTTGTTCACTATAAATTTGTTTTTTGATCCATTTGATTCTGAAAATGGAGTCTCTATTTCTTCAGTGGATCTGTCTGAACTGATGGGAAAATATAGAGATTTTTACTGAGGCACAATTGTGATCCAGTAGATGGACTTGAGGCCTTAGCCGCTACCTAGAAGTTTGTCTAAGCATGTATTCTTACTTTCTAGCTTATGTTATGTGTGATTAATGGATTAATGATTTTTAGTTTAAATCCTAGATCAATATTTTGAAAATGGAAGCGATTCTATTTCAGGTCTCAGTAACACTTCTGGCATTTATGAATTTGCTGCTCCTGTATGTGAGCTACAAGACTTCATCTTTAAGGGTATGTTTTTTTCCATAATTATGTTTTTGGATTTTGATTATGATCTATTATTTGTTTTATCGACTTCTTTGTCTAGCTCAATTTTGCCAATCTATTTTATTAAAAACAAAAAAAAAAAAAATTACAGGAAAGTACCTACCTTGCTCTGAATTCATTATCTTGAAAAATCAAGGCTGGTCTCCTCTCCTTGAGTTGTTGATGCCTGACGAACAAATTCATTTGCAGTTTTCTGGTACTTTATTGTTGATGATTATAGGATTTTATGTTTTAAGTTTCCTGGTATAGATATCCATCTTTGCTTTTATCAAAGTTTCAAGTGTTCTTGGATTTTCCAAAGTGTTCTTGGATTTTCCAAGTATAAGGTAGTTCTTTCGAAAGGACAGGTTGTTAGACTAAAGGACTTCTTCGTTTTTCTTTCTTCTTTTTCTTTTTTTTTTTATTGCATTTTTGTTTAGTAGGATTAGAATTCAAGAAATTTTATTATATTTTTGTTCTAAAAACATGAACTAGGAGCCTTGCCAATAAGAAAACAGATTCTTAGAGACTTGATTACATCTGTTACTTTTACACAGCAAAGAAAATGCCTTGAATACTTGTAATAATGCCTTATCAATTATAGATTCATGGTACCATAGATGATCTGTTTTGTTAAATCTCAACAATGCACAATTACATCATCATTGCATTCATCTTCTCTATTGTCACATCGAACATGCAACAACAGATATTTTAAAGCTCTCTGATTTCATCCTCATTGCATTCATCTATTCTGTGCGCAGAAGTTTCTCCAGTGTCTGCCAATACCTCAGAGCCAGTTGAGAGGCCATGTCTCTTACCAATAGCACCTAGTGTTTTGTACAATTGAAGCATTGTTGGCCTTTGATCTGGATATGGCTGAACACACTCCAATGCAACTCTAAGAAGCTGAAAGATTTCTTGATCAAATCCTTGCCCCATCAGAGATTTATGGACAATGCTAGAGAAGTTGGAGCTTGCAGAGAGATGTGCAACCCATTTGTTGAGTGTTTCATTGCAAGTGTTTGGGGATGTTGTCATGCTTTTAGGATTCTCTCCGGTTATCAGGTCAAGAAGCAAAATTCCAAAGCAATAGACATCCTCCTCGAGAAAGCTTGACTCCAAAACTCACTATTAGCCGAGAAGCTTTTGGTTGAATCAGTGCCATTTGGTTTCAAAAGCATTGCTTCTCTAAAGTTTGATAACACTGGCTTGAAATTTTCATCAAATAAGATGCACTTGGAGCTAATGTTAAGATGGGTAACACGAAAGTTTTACTCGTGCTGGAGCCAAACCAAGCCCGTTGCTGCCCCAGTTGCAATTTTGACCCTTGAGGGCCACTCCATGATTCTTGCCTCGCCTTCCTCAGGATGTAGCCAATCATAAAGACTTCCTTTTGACATGTATTTGTAAACCAAAAGCCTCACCTTTGACTGTATGCAGAATCCCAGGAGGGGCAAGAGGTTCTCATGCTTTAATCTACCCAATGTCTTCAGTTCTGTTATGAAATGCTCATCAAATAGGCAAGTATCATGTAATCTCTTAATTGCAAGGAGCCATCCGTTGGGCAACACTGCCTTGTAGGTTGTCCCCATCCTTCCAATTCCAATGACATTTTCTTCATTAAAATTTTTCGTTGCTTCACTAATTTCTGTATAATTCAGTCTTGAAACCAGTTTCCCCAAGATAGAAGACTGTTAAGTTCCAAATTCCAATATTAATACTAAAATCATGCTGGAACATCCAAACTGAAGTGAGTTACCTGCTAGAGTAAAAGAGTATACCTCTTTGCTTTCTTCATGTAAAAGCTCCCCGTGTGGCATTTCTTCCATCTGTTGAGTTTGCTGTCTTTTGTTACTCCTCTTCTTCCCCTGCGTCCAGAGCACAAAACAGTAGATGAAAATAGTGATAACTGAAACAGCAGAAACCACAAAGCCAACAAGGAAACAATTTTGATATTATGACTTGGTTTTGAGATGCTCTTGCAGGGCTGTATAGGTTTTCTACAAAGTTCCGGTTAGTAAGGCATTAGCAAAGCTATTACTTGAAATTTCATTTATAAAATCAGGTATCGGACCATATAATAGATTCTCAGAAACAGTAAAGTTCTTGGGCCGAGGAATCAGGCCAATTTCTGTTGGCAAATGACTTGTTAATTAATTGTGGTCAAGATTAAGAACATTCGAAAAACTAATATTGGCTAAACTCTTCGGGATTTCACCGGAAATTCGTTGGAGGAGAGTTCAAGTTAAATGTGTGTACCAAAACCCAAGAGTTGAATTTACTATTAACCTTATGTTAAGCCCCTAAACTTATTTTAAATTTTTTATTAGACCCTTAAACTTTTATTGAAGTAAATAAGTCTTTTGACTTATCCATTTAATTAATTTACTATTTTTTTTATGATAAACTTAATGCATATTTGTCTTATTTACATGAATAAGATCAATACTCACTATATAAGCAATTATATATTAATATATTATCCATACAAGTAATTCACAAGTAGGTGTTAAGTTTGCCATAAAGAATAGAAGTTAAGTTGCCTAAATCGTGAAGGTTAGGGATTTATTTCTTTTAACAAAAATTTAAGAGATTAATTGAGAATCTTGAATAAGTTGAGGGGTTTAATGTAAGATTTTTCCTTTATTATTCCCTTCCATTTTTTTTTTATCTCTTTATACCTTTAACTTATCTACCTTTAACTTTATGTAAATTAATTTAACAATTTTTTGTAGTAAATAAATGATAACTAAATTTTTTTTTTAATCTAAATGAAAATATTTAACAAAAACTCCAAATAAAAAGAAAAAAATTTTGAATTATCATATATTTATTATATAAAATCTAGTCAACTTTATCTAAAAATCAAATTAGAACGAGTAGATGTTCATCTTATATGTTTAGTAGCCAAGTTTTGAGATTAGCATTCAATAAGGAAGAAGTAGTTTCTAGTTGCAGGAAAATGTCCTGAAAAAATCAGACAATAAATATAAAAAAAACATTGTGTGGACCACAGTAAAGACGATATAACTGATTCGGCATGGTGGATGAAAGCCAACACAGTTTGGCTTTTGTATTGCACAGGCCTAATGCTTTTGGATTAAAGTCTCCTGCTTCACTATAGGCTGCAAAGGGAGAGAGTCTTATTTCAACCTAGTCTGCTCCTATCTCATTGGATACTGCTTCAACCATTTCGAACACAAACCTGCAGTGGTTCTCTAGAGATCCACCATTGGGTTGAAAACCTGTATGTAAGTAGCAAAGCTGAGCTAACTGATCATAAAGATTATACCAAAGAACCCCTTGTTTCAAATGAAACTGAGTGTGCTCATCAATTGAATTTGACAAAAATTATAAACAGGCCTATTCAGTTGGAAGAGAAATAATACAGCATACAAGATAAATCATTACCTCCACATAGAGTCGTATTAAGATAAAGACACTTCCTAAATTAATCATGATACGGAATGTACCTCCCCAGATCCTTCATAGTTGCTAACACATATCCTATCTCAAATTCCATTGCTTATTTCTTGTTAAAAATTATTTCTTTTTGCCATACTGATAATATTCCATGTTAAATTAGTTTCAACTGAAGATCAGCAGAATTATGTTAACGGTGAAGCCTAACCAAATTTAGGGTCTGTTTGGTACAGCGATTAAAATTCAGTGGATAGCGGGTAGTGGATAGCGGATAGTGGGTAGCGGATAGCGATAGCCGGTAGCGGATAGCGGGTGCGGTTAGCGGATAACGGATAGCGGATAGCGGAAAGTGGGTAGCGGATGATAAATAGCGAATTCGATAAATATAACTGTTTGGTTATACAATAGTTAGCGGTTGTTGTTTAACATTAAATGACTAATAAGGACCTGTTTAAAAACAAATAAGT